TGGACGTTTTGACAAAATAAACAAAAGGCTATATATCGATAGTATACGATAGATACGATAGAATAATACGTATGTAGTTTATTACTAACATGTCTTGCATACAAGATGCCAACATGTCAAATATCGCACGCTCTTCTCATTTTAGAACGCTTCGATATATGTATTGCATCTATCCGAGCCGAGAAGACGCTACACGGTAATATTTGCCCACTGCTAATGGTGCCAATCAGTTAAACTCATAATACTGTCTAGATTACTTTACGAGATAGGTCGGAATAAAGCCCCGCAGATAATAAAGGTCGGCTTATAGATGTAAGATGGTTTTGCTATACACGGACACAGTCAGTTCTGACATACATCATGGATGCTTTACTGAAAGTGGCCATTTAGATAGGTGGTTGCTATCTTAGATATTCCCGCATCACCCTGAGATAATTGGAGAACGACAATTTCGTCAAGACAATAGTCGATTGCCTAGTTTAGCATCACATCATAATATCGAAATCCCTATTATCTTTAATTTTACGCAGCGATCTTGTTGAAGAGAGCAATATTAGTGGGGAAATAGTAGGATTACTATATGAGATCCTTTCGTATCGCAAACACAGTTCATTCAAAAGGCTACCTCACCGTTACACGGAGTTTTGACACTTCTGTTATTTGATGTTGTAGTCGATGGGAGCTGGCCGTACTTGATCAGCTGTAGCAACTGCGATTCCCGATTATGCGAGTCGTTTGCCAACTGCGCTATAGGTTCGGTCGAAGGCTCATTTACATACATTTCATCTTTGAAGGCCCCTCGAAGTACCCATGTCTAGGTTAGTTTTGTGTGTTTAAGGATATCTGCGATGCGGCTAGTACTTTGAATCGCGCTAGAGAAATGTATTCAGGATAGTCAATTGCTTTAACTAGTAATTGCCTTCGTATAATATGTGCTTACCCAATCCTATAGTGTGCCTTTGGAGTTGCCGAAATGTCCCGTGCACATATAATAATAATAATATGTGATAATATAACATAATAAATTTAAAAAGCACAGCTTTAGCTAGTAAAAGTATAACTTACAATAGGACAAGTATGAATTATATTATCTATACATCATGATTAGGTCTGTGGCAAAAACTCGAAGAAAATACGGGCCAGTCTCATAATGACTTAAAACGACAAGGGCATGAAAAAGAAAACGACACCCCGGGCCAAATGTTCTGCTCAATGTTCCTAGGATCACATAGAAAAATACGAGACTGCCAAGAGCACACTAGCCGTTGTAACCTATCTACGTAATAGTTGAGCAAGGACGCCCTTTTATCTATGAAACCGCTAATATAATCAATAAAATCACTCTAAATTTGCCTATAAGTTACGGATGAGATCGATCGTTGCCATCGAGGAGATGCTAAATAAATGTTAGCGATCCATCAGACCAACACCAAAGAGATCGTCATAGGATGAGGTGACTGTGATTCTGTAAGTGGATAGATCTGCATAAATCGGAAAGCTTACAGGCAAAATCGTAGACCACAGAGCAGCTAAGTAAAAGAGTTGACAAGGAGGCTGGAGACAAACGAATCATTCAAATATAATTTGATTCCCTCAAACTTCAAAAGTAAATAGCATTTGCAAATGCAAACTATCATATTTTTAAAGCTGTGGGCCCTTAAAGTATTTACAGGTTTAACTACGGTGTTTTTTTTTGCCTTATGATTCGGCAAGCATCTCTAGTTTTCCATTAGTAATTTTTATCGACACACGATCAATTTTTCATAGGTTTTTCGCCGGTGCAACGTTCTCAAAGCTGACGAACCCAAACAAATCAGTTTTCGGCTGCTCTAGAAGACCGAAAACAACGCCATGTTATGAAATAGTCTATTTTCCCATGAGGCAAAGTTGCAACACAGACCTACCAGGCTCATCACAATTCAGAAAGGTTATCAAACCATATCGATGATGGAACCTCGATCACATACGCTAGAGGAAATCACACCAAACCCTATTTTATTGAAGCATTTGATTACTTCAACCCTATATTTACTTGTTCTGCAAAAGTAACGCAGTCGACATCATTCAAATTGGTGAACTGTCATAGAAGGCATGATTCGAACGCAGATACTGCCCGTAGCGACAATGTCTAGTATTAGGGAATACACTGAAGTAGCTCTACTTGGACAAGTTCGTACGGTTGTACACATGATTCTACAAATGCAATCACTAAGCATTGTAGAACTTAGCTGGAGGACGCATTTATGATGAGTAACTTTCTTTATCCACTCATGTAGACACTCCATTTATCGTATCTACCATTAACGCATATATATATATGTATATATATGAAACTTTTTTCATAGACTTTATTATTTTTTTCTCAATTCAGGTATTCACGATTATTATCTGAAATTTTTTGTCACTTAAACATTTATTCCGCTACTATAAAAGTGTGCTGATAATTTTCCTATTAAAGCAATTTCTTACGAAGCAATATCTAACAGGTGTGCTAGCTAACAACAAGCTTCTAATTATAATTACTGCATCATTTTGTCGTTGTAATTCTTGCGCTGTGATGTCAATGGAAGTCGTTTATCTCTGTTCACTGCACACCCCCGAATTATAGACGGTGTACTTCAGACCTGGTCGACGCATCAAGGCTCAGGGTGCTACAGTGAATAGGACTTACATTAGACCATCGAACATATCTATTTTCGATTGTACATTTGTTTTGTCCAGTTGTGTTTACCCTATGATTCCATTTTCTTACACTTAGAAATAGGTCGGCTTCCACCACATCTTGCAACTCTTGGTTGAATAACTTTGCGCGGGATATTATTTGCGAGGTTAATTGTTGGGTTCAAAACGTCTTCCCCAACCGACGAGTAGAATTTTCACTAAAGACAAGGCTTATACGGGGAGCTGTCTCCGCTGCTCTAGCTTCAAACTGGTAATCGTAAATCACTGACATTTTGCATGATTTATTATGATTCGCCTATTAAAAGTTGAAAAAAAAAAGAAGACAGAAAGCTTTCTAACGGTTCTCGCTGTAATAAATACGTCCATTTGAACTTTAACGGTTAATTCCATTTAGCCAAATCTCAAATAATTATATAGTTTCTCTTAACCTATAGCCGTTGCAGAGCGCCATTATAATACATAGACATTATATAATCTGTTTTATTACTCTTCAGGTACAGCAAATTATGTAGCAATATGCTCTTTTGTTTGTTACCAAGAGCAGACGAATTTACACGTAGACTGATTTCGTTTACAATGCGGTCAGAATAGAGCTTCTAGGAGTTTGTCAAGATGAAGGGGCGCTTAACGTATGCACTTACGTCGGTATTGTTGTTGATAATGTTAGTTGAGTCATTGACCAGTCGATTTTAACGAAAGCGGCAATATCGTAGCTACGATATTTCTGTTGTTGGAACAACCAGCTTCGAAGGTACGATTGAAGGTCAAAAAAAAAAAAAAAATAACAAAAATTCGTGAAATTTATACGAAAAACAGTTTCGGCGACTTTTGCTAAATTGGGTTAAAAAGTGGTAATAGTAGGTAGTCCAATGCGTGCGCTAATTGAGGTAAATGACCATCATAGGAGAGCTCAGAAATTCAATTTTCTAGCGACATGCTCCCAACGATGACTGCTCAAAGAGTTAATGCGAATTTCATCATTTTTGGCATAAAATTGGCCCTATCTAACTGAATATGTCCAAAATAATGGTAGGTTTGCAGTCGATTTACGGTTCCTACGCTGACAACATAAAAGAAAATAAATATATACATGACATAGAAGTATAAATTATGATACCAGTTAACGGACTTTAAGCATTAGATCATATGATAGAAGCAAATGCATATATACTCTTTTTGGCGGTAAAAAAAAAACCAATAAATCAGCCAAGCAATCGCCTTACTTACTAACTAACTGGAGATATGCTTATTGCTTGATACACGAACATAAATACAGGCTGGTATAGACGAACTAAAAATGACTGGCGAGCTTTTGAAGATGGTGGGAAACTGTTATGAGAGAAATAAACAGAGTGAACTCTAAAAGTTTCTCGATATTTCGTGGTCATATCTCTTATCATATTGATAGAGCAGTGATAATTCCATTCGTTTTTAGAACAAAGGCCAACGTTGTGCTATGCAGATTTTCGAAATTTTCAATCGCTAGTTGCGACGTTTTCCTGCCAATTCAGGCATTATTAAGAAATCGTAAACGTTTTAGTTTTATTATAGTCTATAATATGACAAAGCTTTACACTAGTTGAAATACAGCTAAAGGAGGTGAATGCCTTTGTTCTCCTAAAAAGATATTGCTACCCTACAATTAGATGGTAATTGGCTGCCATGAAAACGAAAAAATCTCCTGATACCGAGCTGTGTTTTGAAACGCTATGCGAAAGGATTTGCTAACATTACAAGTGAACGTTTTGCGCTGATCTTGAACTGATGAGAAACCGCACGCTTGAAATATTCTTGCTTGCTATCAAATAAATTAGTAATAGGGCTGATTTTCAGCGGCCTAAAACATTTTCCATAATAAAAATTAGCTATCCACACAGGTTAAACCCTAAAATATTACCTTGCCGTCTCTTATCTCCGAGCTCATATTCCAATGTAACAGAGATATTATCCCTTATAACCCTGCATCACAGTTTTAAGCTATGTTCCCATACATTGGTATGGATTTGTTGTCGACGGCGCTTGCTTGAAGCAACAACCCCCTGTTTTTTTTTTTGTCAACCAAAGACTTAGCCGTGCAGACTATTACTTCGATAACTGTACGTGGACCCGGAGCTGTCTGTTATTATAACGTAGAACGAAACGCCCGAAATAAAGCTAACAATCACTTGTGCAGGCGTCTCGCAAATGCTCCTGCGACGCGCTTACTTAATCCTGCTTCACTAATAAATCGATGCAATGCACTATCACCCTCGCCGTTTATCGACTTTTAAGTTGTTTATAAACATTGTATACAAACGTTGCATATAGGAAATGATTTACGAAATATTAAGAATAAAGAAGTTATTCTCAGGACAGAATTAGAGTTGAGCATATCAGCCTACACAAGAATCACAGGGGTACGCGTTTCAGACAGAATCCACATAGTAAGTTAGGTTAAAATAGAAAACTGAGTACAACGGTTTGTGCTGCGAGGGTCACTGCATAAAAACGTCATCTATCTTCCAGAGATTTTTCAGTTTCGAAACGGCTTCTGGCATTTCAATTGTTTAGTAAGAGTAACGGTTACCTTGCGCCCTACGAGAGTGCTGTGCGCTCCGTCACATCTTTAAGACCTTCTAATTATAAAGGTTAGTACCTGTTCGTACCTGCATGCGAAGTATTTGATCAGTCACCTTTAGTTTTATGTATACATTTCGTTGAACGTTACATTTTCGTTATATCACTTAGGAAAGAAACACTATTAAGAGGTAGCGGCTATGAAAGGAACACTTCATTCATTCATAACCGGTAAACAACTATTCATCCTTGTACTATTGTTCCCGCGACATAGAAATCACTGTTCCAATTGCCGTTCCATGCTTCGGAAAGCGGAACAACGAAGCCCATTGGAGATCAGGGGTGGTAAAATCACCCCACTCCATTTTGAGCTTGGAGATTTAATTTATTCATTTTTTCAAAAGATCAAATTGTTCTGTTGAATATCTCTGACCTTACGAGTTCATAGCCTCTAACGATGAACTCTGTCATACTTTCTAGGCCATAGAACCGGGCCTCTGAGAGGGACTATCATGCAAGTATGATTGTAGGATGCGATTATAGGCCGCCGGAAACTTTTGGTGTTTCCGGATTTGGTAGCAAGCCCTACTAAGCAGTCAGCTGATGCAGTAAAAATCTGCTTTGGTTATTATGGCTACGACTAGCACTGTCGTCAAAGAAAAATTTTGCATATTTAATATAAAGCACGTTATGGGCGTAAAAATAATATCCATATGAGTAATTTAAATATCCAAAAATACTACGCCATTCCTGAACTAGATTATAACAAAAACGTGCGCTACACTTTACTGTGCCACCGTTTGAATTAGGGATTAGATGAAATCGTTCTGGGTCTGGACGCTACGAACTTTGACATGCATCGCATTTATGGTCGTCATCCTCATGCGGGCCTCCTATGCCAATCTCCTAGCCAAGCAATTTCATCTCGTTTTGGTGAATAACGGCTACTGCGCTGCAGCCCCGAACGGATCGAAGTGTGTGACAAACGACGCAAGGTATAAGCCTCATTGGAGAATAAATTCAGTTCGCGTTATATGGGCTGAAGGTACGTAATTGTAAGAATCGCTTCGTCAAAGTATCAGTGTTCAACATGACGATATATATCCTGTAGCGTGCGCAAGTTAAGCTATAGATTAGTTAGAAAAAGGTCGACTTTGTTCCCTTGAGGTAGTTATAATTGGAAGGGCACAATCGTCCAGTTCTGTCGGGCGAGTTAGAGGCAAGTGGATAGCAGGTCGAAGCGAATACGCCCATAGACAACACAGTATCAAGCCAACTATCAATATTTTTCGCTTGTAATTATAGCTGCTATAGTACAGTGGGTTGAGACGCGCATCGACAACGTCTCAATTGTTGAGATACGGGTTTAGCAATAGTTGAAACATTAGTCAGACACCGCGGTGCGAATAAACTATGCACGCGGTGTAATAACAACAATCCTGATTGCTGAAGTCGTATGACTCAATAATGGTGTTTCAAAACTCATCGGCATCGCGCTCATACACGACCCACGCAATCGACTGATAACCCGGAAAGTGTTAGGTCTGTCAAAAATGTTTGCTTCAGAAAGCTGGTCTTCGACGAACTACATGTCATAGAACGGCTTTTCGCTTGCTCGATGAGAGTCGTAATTTACGACCGCGGATCAGCGGTAGATAAATTTCCTAGGAAAGTTTAGCGCGTGGATTTGGTCATGGTGAAGAAATTCTGGCGCTATCGTGCAATTATTTCTCTAACGGTAGAAACTTTCCTGTCCAGATGCGTAACGTTACAGATCCGTTTTTGTTTTGTTTTGTTTGTCAGTTTGGTTTGTTTTGGCGTATACTTTTTGTTAAAATGTACGCCAAAGCAAAGCGGACTGTGACATTCTTGGCTGTCGTGTAATCGGAAGGCAGTTATCGGACAGACATAAAATCAAACATGTCTTGGCTCTAAAAGCCCTGTAAACGACGTGTATATTACAGATGTGATTTTGAAAATATCTTTAAAAAAAGAAAATATGCACTTTCTATCCTTACGAAAAATCTAGCAGTACTATTTCGAAAAATAAGTACTGAATTCCGAATCAAGTCTTATAGGTTTTGCGCCTGCCTTCATAAGGTTTTCGATTTGCATGATTATAATTCGTTCTTCTGTAACAGGTCGATTGTTCTAGCTTGCAGAAAGTCGAATAGAGATGGAATACAATTTCCTAGAAAATAGATTTTTGACAGGACTTGTTTTCAAATCGTATTTAAATGGCAACGTTTCTCACTCGGCCATGATTAGGTTGATAGGCTTTCTGGCAGCCACCAGTTAAACACCAGCACATTGTTTCATAGCCGGAATTTGATAGACGCACCATGTGGATCGGTGAGCTATAATAATAATACGAGTACTTAATGAATAACTGATACCTCTAGTAGATGGCTAGAAAAAAAAAAAATTTTCTAGCCATGTTGATTCTGCTTTTAAATGATTTGATAAAGTGCTTTATGCTCGATACAGACAGTAAGCATTGCTTTGTTACGGTTAATATTCCTATTACGACTACCAACCTCGAATTGATATCATTACTTACAGAGGCAGAACGAAATTGTAGCCAATTGCGGGTTGCCGATCTTAAGGCCATCCGTTCAGATCTTGACAAATTGTGGCCAAGCTTCGTTACGAAGACTCCAGACGAGCTTTGGAAAAATCAGTACAATAGAGACATTAGCTGCGCCATACGGGACGGGAACATTAGCACGCCATTGGCTTTTTTCAAGAAGATCATAAAGGTTTACAAGCAATGGGATATCTATCATATGCTCGAGAGGGAGGAAATCACGCCAAACTACAACGTACCCTTTCCTTTATTAAATATTAATCATGCACTACAAAAACACGGAGTGGCTGATAATATAACCGTGTTAGGCGTCGAGTGCGCGACCGACAAACGCAATAGAAACATCTTTTTTGGAGTTCATTTGTGCCTTGATGTCAACCTTGACCCAGCACGATGTGATTCAAAGTCAGTCCCGAATCCGTGCGGTAAACCGGACCAGGTGGGGTATGCTTGGTACTTGGGCGAAAAATCGGCAGGGTCAAGCGTATTTTGGAAGGTATCCCCGTTTACGGCCGTAGTTGCAAATGTGCTTGCAGTCCTATTTTATCGCTGCTCACTAGTTTTATAGATATCAAAATTACTAAATAAAAAATAAAATTGCGAAACAATTATTGAACACAAAAAGGTGCTATTCTGTGCTTTAGTGCCCATTGAAAAATAAGGACTAGATGCATGTACGCGGAACGCATACTTACAAGGCAAAAACCTCTTCAGAACTAGCGTTCAGTATCGTTGAATATAGCTCGATGGTGCTTTTCAATAGTGTTGATCTTACGTGAATTTTGGTCAGAACTTAACGCTGTAATCTATAAGCCGTTCGCTTTTTTTCGTATGCTATGGGCGTATAAATTGGTGACAGGTGTTGTAACTTACTTAACAGAAGTCTATGTAATACAGCTACATACAACTGACGCTATCAGAGCAAAATTACGTAAGCCGAGTGAGAAGCTCAATCTCACCGGTTGGCCATGTTCCCGCCTTGTTCCACTACGAATCAGTGCAGATCTTCATCAAAGAGTACTACAAGTTAATGGAAAAAGTGGCAGCAGTCCGGTCTTTCCTTAGTCAGGTTGTTTATCTTGCGCATTCCCTTGAGCAAGCGCCCTACAGGTTGCCAGCGCGTCGAGGATACGTATATTCGGCCTTTTCCGCCGAACGTTTGACAGCATTTTACCGTTCATATTTAGGAAGCATCAGATGGCTCTATAGCCGGTGAGAATGTGTCAAGTCAGTTTTTTGCCTGGTCGTGTAATTCAGACCTTAATACAAGTTCTTCATAATTTCGAGCATCCCGTATGTCTTTTCATGTACTAATAATTCTCATTTCGGCGTCTTCTGATGGGTTGTCCAATAATGCATGCTTTCTTTTACCTTTAAACACCAATTACGCTTTTGTACTTACTGTGCAATACGCCTGAATGACGCTTAACGCTAGGACTCACTATGCTTTACGTGGTAACCTACTGACCGCCTTTCTTTAATCGTTGATCTTACTTAAGGATCAATTTTTGTTTTTTTTTTTAGGATTTATTTAAGGTTCAGGTTAGTTGCTATCTGAGTTAAGTTTATGTAATCGACTAGTCGAATACCTAGCTTCGAAAGGCGTCAACGGGATTCGGTTGATCGAAGCATATCAACATGGGCGAACAGAATTTAATTGGAGCAAAGATTAGTGGATCACGTCAACTTGTTTCTGCTAGACGAAAATTTAATGTATTATGTTTATTTTTTATCTGATCTGTGAGTTGTTCATATAGTGGCTTAAACGTTGGCGATCTTAGATCAATACGGGACGAACTCGCCTTGTTCTGCCTCATTGCACTTATTCCCGAGACGACGAGCAGAATTCGTCTCTTCAGTTTGCTAGATACGGTTCCTGTGCTGTGAATCGGAGGAAGGGTGTTCATTGTTAACATGGTTCGAAAAACACCTGATCTCTGTAGGCGATTCGATGTTTTCGATATTTGACTAAACACAGCGACACAGCGATTTGAGCGACACCGTGACAATATTCAAATCGGCTGTTCTAGCTTTTTTTGAGGGAAAGTGTCACTAGATGTTTCTGCTCTCCTGTGACGCTAGCAGCGTTATTCTTTACGAAATCCGACTATATCTTAATCGCAATTAACCGCCAACTATTGGCAGTTGGTATACGTCGACGTGTAGAATTAAACAGCTGTGGTATTTTCATGCCTCTGGAGCAATCAGCCGCATTCATAGTAGTCTTTTCGTGATTTTAATAACTATCAACAAAGTGACAAGTGACATAGAAATTAAACTATTAACGACACTGATGTAATTTCAAGTTAAGCTGCTCTCTTATTGGAATAATAGCAGTTCATCAAAGCAAAGGAGCACTATGTATCGTTTCCCGCTTTGTTTTTGCCTGTTTGTCCCTGAAGTTTTAGTGTTAGGCAAATTTAAGCTGCGGCCAGAAGCGGTTATCAGCACGGTTTAGGTGAAACAGCCCTTGCTAAGTCGAAGTTATTTTACGCCTAGTGTCCATCTAAAACAGTTGATCGTTCTTGCCCTTCATTTAGATAATCAGATAATACTAAAATTACCTTGAAATTACCACCGATTCTATACTCAACTAGTTACGTCTTACTTAAAATATTATAGCGCCATACACTATACGCATCACGTCTTTCATCCACAAATCTCTGCTTTGGCAGGAAAAATGCTAGTAGAAATTAATAATTAGAAAAAAAAATTACCAAAGAAAGGGAGATAACCCAGATAAGGTATTATTTTAAAGGGTAACAGATGCTTCTACAGTTATCACTTCGTTTCATAAGTCTGTTGAAATACTCGGGTAGACTCCCTAATGAAAGCAAGTCCTTGATCCTGTAGCTAAAAACAGGTGAGTCCGCGGAGCAGTTCGCATAGGACAGATAATTTGATTCGCTCGAGTTTCAGACATTTCGTGTACAGGAACGGGATAAGTTGTAGTTTTTGTTGTTAATAGTTGTACATATTGATAGACATATCATACGTTAGAAGGACACGCTGGTAGAAGCGTAACAGATAAAAAGGGTAACCTTTTTGAAATGTAACTGGCTTAAAAAGAAATACTTCATCGGCCAAAATGCAAACATGACTATTGTAACCCATTTTTCTCAAAAGAAAGATTTAATGAAAGATCAAGCTTCTTTAGATTATGTTCATAGGGGACCTCTTCTACGAAGAGAGTTCGACAGCCTTTTGCACCTCTTACTGCTCAGTTTGTAAAACATTCGTAAAAAACAGCCTTGAGAGCCGGTAGATATTAAATCGATGGGAAGAAAGCCACATATTATCGTTTGTGACTACCAATAGGCATTCCGTTGGCCACTAAACGAAGCTATAAATAAATCGGTACCCAATATATAACACTGTCAACTACATATTTGTTTTTCTTCTAATTTCGTAAATCTGTAATAGCTCTTTTGTATCAATCCTGCCTCGTAGAACAACAACTTACAAGAAAATATGCATCATCCTTGCGAAATAAGAGCAATTCAATGAATTTCAACGCGCAGCTCGCTAAGGCTTTCTCCAAAGTTATAAACTCTCTAATAGGACGCTGTCTGCAGGTCCTTTTTTAAATTTCGTACGAAATTTCTGATTTATCGATTTCAAGTGAAATTGAAAATAACGGAAATTTTTGAGTCGGCTTTTTCCCATTTAACAGCATTTTGGAAAATATCTTTGGGCAGTTTCCGGCAAGCCAAAGCCTTTATGCACAGCATGTATGAAAGTTTTTTAGCCACGTTCTTAATCCGCCCGGTCTAGTGGCGCTTACTCACGTCTTTCTTTGACCAGTGGTTTTTTCTTGAGACAGCAGCTATGTGATGCAAACGGTCCAACTAATAGCCCAGTTCTTGCTTGACTCGATCTATCAGCTGCTGTAAATGATCCCGCCCAGAAGTCTATTATGCTGTTTCAGACAACTACGCATAATTTATTATGAGCGTACCTAGTGTTACCGTTTTCCCTAAGAAATGATGGTGTCGTATCGGCGTCTTGGACCATATAATTTTTTCCACAAGGTTCTTTAACGCGTCCTACTAGGTGGCCGTCAAAAAAGCACCCTTAGTAGTCTTCCACCGTTTTATTTTAGGTAATTTGATAATTGCCTTATAGCTAGAAGGTTCATCGATCAGAGCTACAATAAATCTTGTTGAATCTTTCCATGTCTGTTAACTATGGTTATCGAGCAAGTTCACAGCCGCTTGAGCTAGATAGCTTCCAAATAAAAATTACTTGACTACGCCAGATATTTGATCAGCCGCCTCCGAGCTCGCGCGGCTATAAAAGCTCGTTCGTGATAACTGACCTTCATTTTCCGCATTCGCCGCAAAGGACTCTATGACGATGTGGCCTGCTTGGAGGACTCTAATACTATGCATCATAGCAGGTAAGTAAAAGCAGGTTAAAATTATCACATAGAGCGTGCGTCCATCAATGTTCCTTATCAATAATGATTCTGAACATGATGTCAGAGTCGTTTTTCCCAAGTGGACACTGCTTTTTCAATAAAATTTTATGACACGTGTGAAAATTTAAACCTTTTTGAATCCAGATTCCCTTTGCTTGCATGGGGTAACGTTATCGTTAAATATTCAATATCTTTCTATGAGGACGTAAGCTTATCTGTCAAATGATGAGCAGAGAAATACTAAGACTGGTATATTCGTCTAGAATATGTCAGCCGTACTACTTCTTATCGGTACATAGGTAAAAGTTAGTGTTTTTTGAGAAATTAGCGTAAATAATATTGTGTGAATTTACATTGCGTCTATTGAAAGCGTCAGCTCGATCACATCGATACGAGTTTGATCGAATACATTTTCCGTAAAGATAAATGCCCACATGACAGCTTGTCCTGCAGCAGTTTTATTATACGAAAATTATTTGTATCGTATACGCTCAGTCTACAATCATCGATGGATCGTAAGGTTTTTTGGTCTTGAAGCAATCTACAAATTAAGCGAACTCATTTCTCGAGTACTTTAATTTACGCTAGCTTCATCGCTCCCATATGTGGGACAGTGGGGTCAGGGGCTGCGTGTGCCTGTACAAGGTGACGTGCAGTATATCCTAGGTACCATGCAGCGTCCTACGGTGCAATATCATTGTTGGGCAATTTCTCCGATCGGACACATTTATCTCGTAATGAGACTTTTTAGATTCATATCGTCGTACAATATTATTGTATTTTTTTTTTTAGAAATTTTTCCTTGCTTTGTACTTATTCTTATCTTTTAGGTCAAATTTTATGTCTTTCTAGAGCGTTCGAATCGTCGGGCAATCACTGCTTACAGTTACTTATTCAATCATTCTTTTAATTGCCAATCTATCATACTTCGTCCTGTCAAGTGTTCAATGGACCGCTCAGAAATGGTCATTATTTACGAAGTATAAGTAGAACAGAGTAATTACATTACACGGAATTCTGAGGAACCTTTGTGTTAACAGATGAATGTTTTTTTTTTTGTTCTCGAACTGTTGAATTTTGTGATGTAGCAATTTTGTCGGCCAGAAATAATAGAATCCGTGTTGAAAAGACGCAACACTATTCAGACTCTACGGAAAAAACAAAGAGATTTACGACAACAATTAGGTAAGACGAGATCGCATAGGAAAACATGGCAGACAAAGCAATCACATGCATTTATATGCGACTATAGAGGCAAAGCAGTCTGGCTAGTTAGTACGCATTTCTTAAGCGCGCTGCCACCATCAGCATGAGGCTATCACTAGTTCAATTTACGAATAATTACCACGCTGTTTCATAGCTCCATTGAGAAAAAAAAATGGATAAATGGAGCAACATCTACACTGCCTTTCGACGATAAAGTATCGAAAAGGTGATTCTGAGGAGGTAGCGAAAAACCTATTTCGTCCTTTAGCATTTTGGAACGGTCATTCTGCATAACTTTTCCCACTCTTATTTTATAATATAACTTTTTACCCTTACTTTTTACTGTATTCTGCTACTTGAACAAATGTAAAATGAAAATTCGTTAGTTGTTTAGTCGCCTTTTCCCTAACTATATATATATATATATATATATATATATATATAGATGAAGATATTCCCCTGGAAAATAATTAAATTCTTTTAGCCAATAGAGTGTATGCCGTCTTAAACGTACGAAATTCTTAAACGTCTTCCAACATTTGCTTGAAAAATACCTATTTTGAACTTCTTTCTCCGACCTCGATGTCAAACGATCGATTTTTTTTTGTCGACCCTTAGTGTGCGCAACAGAAGCTGTGTGTCAGTATGAAGACAGCTTCGACGACGATCGGGCATCGCGTCAGGACCAAGAGTCGGGTTCCCATGAGATGGACGCAAATGATGAAATGGAAGGATACGATAGTGATAAACGAATCGGCAACGGCGGGTATGGGGGTAAAGAAGACGATACCACAGTAGCTTATGGGTAAGCGTGAAATGACGAAACAAACAACACAAAAATAAGAAATGGTTATCCACATAAATAAATCAGCTTGATATATATATGTGAAAATCAGAAATCCTGATCGCTATACTAAGTCTTTAATATTAGGTTCGTGCGTTTTCTTCTTGTTTGTCTCTTTTCAAAAGAACGTATTTAGAGGAAAAGCGCACTTTTGGTTGCGGTTGAAAGAAAAAATTCACCTGAGATTACTTGTGGGACCTTTTGAGCACTCTGTAGAATGAAGAGGTCCTTGCTTTAGGACACCTGGTCTCTGGTTTTTCTGCTGTTAAAAAGCAATGTAAACTGAAACGTGTTCTTTAACGGGTAGTAGAACTAGCTCTCTAAGGACCGTTTCCAAACATTAGCTGAATGACCGCTACATATGGCCATTTTACAGCAATGACGAGGCTCAAGGTGAGGAGGATTCACCTGAAACGACGACAATTGGTCGTCTACCGGAACGTGACTTGCCGTCAAACGGACCGTTTTCCACCCCGACGTCTGCAAAGTCGCGCCCTCAGAGTGGAGATGCGTACGTACAGTACCGGAGTGACTATCCTAATTACTTTGGTAAGCGAGTAAGAGGTCAAAAAACAATCTAAGATTCATTGTATAATCTGTACTGGTGTTAGTAAACTACAAGTCGGTTATGAAAGGTAGGGTAAAGGTAACCCCTTGCCCGTACGAAATATACTACTATTGAGCATTTAATTACAATAATGTGGCAAAAACGCTGAAATGACTGAACTGTTGAGATTTTCGAATCTCCGACCCAAATACAAAGCGAGGTCGATTTAGTCTAGAAAAATGGTCACATCTCATCCTCCATAATTATTTGGAACGTCGTTAATTGTTTATTGTTATCAGGAAGGTACTTCGGTGAGTTATCACATCATTTAGAAAACAAACCTGCCCACGGTCCACCCGAAGTGCCGAAATACAACGTACCGCCATATCCATTACCAGATAGCAGAGTGAACCCTAACTTCGATAACGACCTGTTCGAGGTAAGCGGCAAGTCTAAACGTTTAGTCGGGAAATCTTTTCATAAGGATGTTTGAAGACAATAGCTCTTTCCAACGATGGCATATTTTCTAACCGATTCTCTCCATAGGCAGCCACCGTCATAAGTGAGACTGTACCAATAAATAATTAGCTCGTCGCTTATTAACCACCTTGGCTCATCTAAGCTGTACGAAGCACAATCTTTATGAAAACATTCAGACTGGGAGCAACAGCCAAACACTGGATATGTCGAGCGAAAATCAAATGCCTCCTGACTACCTTCATAAGCCGCGAATGATGGTCGTTATGGCGAGACTGCGCAAACGTTACGGTGCCGAAACGCATCCGTTATTTGTGGGACTTCAACCCGCATCGTTCGCCTTCAGTAAGTAGATTGAGCAAAGGTTATTGACGATGAGAAGCTAACTAGGGTGTTTTGACTCGCTCATCAGCGCTTTGTCGGACTCGAACGTTTATTCAAACAAAAAAAGGTCCATAACAATGCATCTTAAACAAGAATCAGAAACGTACTTAGAGATTTATAACACTACTCAAAAATTGCCCGTATGACCACCGTTTCAAATATCATATCGTTCAATTGAAAATCTAACAAACATTAATTTCACATGTCAAAATAATGCTATTTTATAACAATATGCTATCTTTTGTATAGAAGATGCACTAAAATCTACAGGCGTTCACTCGGATGTTGTCACTAGGGGCTTTTAGCAGGCAAGTTATAGTGGATTCCTGAAAATTAGGAAAATTTGGCTGGCTTTCGAATATGAGTTCCTCTTTGGACTTACAATGGCGGAGACAGTTCGTCCTATAAACCTTGCATTCAGTGAAGGTACAATTATTAGGAACGCTGTAGGTCGTGGGTTCCGCAAAATTTCAGAAAGTTAATTTTGAACACGGAAATGAGTTTGGTAGAAGAGACTCGGCGAGAATGAATGACAAACTATTGACAATTTATTCATCTGAAAGTGCCCTAGCATTAGTACCCAGGTTTAGTCTACGTAAAAATACCATACCTGTTCGCCTGGATCAAATTAATGAGGTAAAAAAGATGTACCAACGGACGTTATGTCGCTTGAGCGAGGACCAGAAAAACACGTAAGGCGCACTTACTTCTCTTTGCTGAACTATGCTGATTTTTGTACCAAATCATGACTTGTAATAAGAACATAGGCCATTCATCATAATCCTAGACGATCATATCGGCTCGTGGATGCAACTAAACCGGCGGGTCATAATCTCAAACAAGTATTCACTTCCAAGAACTTACGATGTCCGTTTGGCGGCCCAATGCAGCCTACAGCTTCATAAACCCTGTTTTGTAAAATTACGGCTGAAGTGTACTGTCAACAATTGGTGGAGGTGACAGTAAACAGAGGCAAATTATTTCTATTGCACAGCAGCGTTCGGCGTCGTTCCGACAAAGTGACGGTGGGCAAAATGCAGAAATTACGGGTATGGGCTATGCTCGCCAGATATTGGTGCCATCGATTACTTTTGTGAAATCTTGGCGATTTTTAAAAGAAAAGTCATTCAAATCGATGTCGACATTGCCGTTGAGAACATGCCCCGAACTTCTACAGCAGCGAAACTAACAAGTTACCGTCCAAACAGCGGAAGATTATACTACTCATATCTCGATAGGGAAAGAATTATTTTCGATAAGCGGGATTCGCTATATCAACTTTCATACGATCTAACGCACTGAAAATTCGAATTGATATTTAACCTAATACGCGGCAAGGTATCGAGGCTTTCCGCTAGATGTGAAAGGATACGATTTGTGTTAACGTAACCAAATTTTGTGTTTCTAGCTCGCATTATATCTGTAGCTGCTCGCAGCTCTATAGAAGTTCCAGAGTCGAAACTGATCCAGTTCACTCATAACCTAACACAGATAATAGCGAGAGAAATGGAATCCCTGAAGGGTCGTCTGCGTACCATGGAACTCGAACGCATCAAGCTGTTCACAGTCTTGATTCAATTCAAGAGTAAGCTTTTGTTATTATGGCAGTAAAGTAGTGATGATTTTTCACGTTGAAATACATCCTGTCTTTGCAATTGAACGTAGACTATTCAATCAGGTCGCGACGGTCGCCAGCTGAAAAGCTGCTACTGACGCTACAGGGTTTCATTACATCTACGATCTTATGAATAGAACTAATGAACTTTCAGGTATTTTGAATGAGATGTACGAACGCTCCACTGCGGATGGATCTGTATATGCCAATAGACTAAATATGAGTCAACATGAGATGTACATCGCCAGACTGTGCAATCTGTTCATGATTCCCTGTGCCGTTACTAGACTTAGCCCGCTTACGCCTGACGAAATTAAACAGATTAATTATGACGTCGGACTGTTTGATACTAAGATCAATGACAAAAGCAAGGTTCGTGCACGATACGAAAATTGACAAGGTCTATTCATACTATTTTCGAATAAAATCGATCGCCCGGTCGATTGTCATACGTCCCTGTGATAGATAAATGGGTAACATGTTTTGTTGGTGATCTCAGGGATACGTAGTGATATAAAGTCGAAAGGGTCAGCCGTTTGATCTAACGCGTAAAGTCGGTGGCAGACATAAAATTTAAACTATTTCCACCTCATATAGTAATCATTTGGGTTAGTATTGACAGATGTTCTGCATAGTTCAGTGTACACAATGCTCTAGCTGATTTCAGATGGTAGAACCAATCAAAAGCTCAAAAGACAGACATACGTTCATTTCCAACGACGCTATAGGACATTAGCCTGAATAGACAGTTTTCAATACGATGACTTTCTGATTCGAGACTCATAAGAGGAGCATTTTGCACTGTCATAAACTTCGTGGTGGGTTTAAGCCACTAACATGAACGAATGATATAGTATGACCAGCTAGCTAACACGTCTGAAATAGATTTAAAATCTCATAATTAGGAGAAGTTGATACTTTTTTTAGGAGCTCGTATGCACCGCTTTGACAGAAAACGACATCTGCTTACTGTGACCATCTTTCATGCGATGAATATTTCAGTTGGTTTTAACCAATCGTATAAGGATGATACTTGTCAGAAAAGCCTACGATGATAAAAAAGACAGATTAATTCCTAGCAGCCCTAACGAGACTAGCGACTATATTTCCAAGGCCAGCAAGAGGAACAGTAAATGCAGGTACACAAATCAATAGACAAAACATTTTCTATACCTAATGAAGTTATGGCCTTGATGATAAGGCATGACACCCCACCGATTCGAGCTGGCATAGGTTAGTAGATGATGAACTTGTACTATCATTTTAAGTCTAATTATTCTTTCTAAATCGCCAGTGATGTTGCTACGTCGCTGGGGTCAGCACTGCACTGCTCGAGGAACTCGGTTACGCCGTCATCGAAACTTAGCACTACTGCTCGGGAGGACCAAGATAGACACGAAATTCTACGATGTAAACTACGCCGATTACGAAACCTCTATTTACTGGTGAGTATTTGCGTTTAACTTTTCCACAAGCGACGTGACTCAGCTGTATCTACTTAAAGTATGCTTCGGATACAAGGGAAGTCAACGACGGCATTTCAGCATTCGTCTCTTCGTTTTGACTGCATCCTTTCATCGAAAAATCGCAATATTAATCAAGTTGTTATTAAATCAGAGAATCTGGATGTTGAGCTAATTGTCGATCACATCTATTTAGAATGTGACTTACATCTCGGGTTTTGTTTCTTTTCTCATGCATGCCTATGGTCTCAGGTTCGACCTCTTGTCACGGGAACTAAGCTGACCCGGACAGAGCTCCGTGAGATCTTCCGAAGTCACGAAGGCTTCTTTGAGCCCGGACTGACGGAAGCACAAAAAATTGCGCTTGTCTACAAGATGGCTGAAACCATTCGAACGGCTTTCGTCCCTCGACAACTAGTCAGATCAGATTCGTAGCCTTTTAATCTTACAACTGCTTGCTTTATTTGTTAACAAAGATTTCGCCTGGGTCCTAATGTGTCCTTGCCATGCTTAAATTCACTTGGCCACTAGAGTGTCGCTGAGTAGATTGTAATGTTAGGTTTGTTGATCTCTATGTCAAGCAGGTCTTGAATCCGAACTTGAGTACGTCTTCAGCGATGTCAAGTTCTGCGTCTACGATAACCCCAATAGTTACCTCTCCAGGTAGCGAGTTGTCTCCTGCATCACCATTTGTACGCTCTCCCCTTTCGATAATTGCACAGCGTCCGAACAGCGACTCCAAACGTGCACCACCTTCGGACAAGATGCATGTTTCAGGTGAGTACGTTCAATAGCGATCCACGGAATAGCTAATGCACCTTTACGACATAGTTACTCCCACCAGTAGTAAACAAGTGGCGTTGAGGTGATAAGTTATGATGGCTGTTTTAGTTGTGTGGCACGTTCAATGGGCTGAAGAAGCCAGGTACGTTTATCGCTGTGATATTGGGATGTTTTTTTTACAAATAAAAATAATTGCAGTGCATTAATTAGCCGATGTCTCATTTTGAAACAAATGTGATTTTCTATATAATCATCTTTGTTACATCTATGATAGTTTAAATTGCAGGCAGGATACGGATGGACCTGAACGTCGAGCGAGATATGAATCCTACTCAGGAAGGCATCCTGCCGCATTTCCTTAAGAGATAGGACCATATCAAACTAATCAGATCCCCGATACGGAATTGTGTTGGGGGGTGTTTCTGCTTTTTTAGAGAGCATTTGTATGCTATTCGCTGTTCAGGTACTAGCCTCTTCCCTAGACCAGTGCATATACAAACTTGTTTTTCCTTCAGTTAATTTCACAATATGACGTTATTACTGGAGGTTATTCTGATACGAATTATATTGTTTTTGAATTTTCAAACAAGTATGTTTCTATGTGATTGAAAATGGTAGCAATATTAGGAAAGTGTTATTATATTTTACGTCTGTCTTCGCCAGGTCGTATGTAACCAATAGACTTCTCGGATGCGTTACAATGACTGTGAAATCTGGTGTTTTTTCAGAAGTAATCTTCTTTCTTGTACACAGAAGCAAACCTATCGGACATCTTCAATCAGATCTGTATTGAACAAGCGTTAGACAAATTTATTTCATGGATGCTTGTACTGTCGTAGTAAATGTCGGTAGAAGCCTGTCGATATAGATCTTCTTAACCAATTGTAGAATGCTCAAACAACGTTACGCTTAAGCAATCTTGCACAGTAGTATATTGTATCGTATATCCGTATATATATTTTGGATCTAATTTGTCTACCCTTTTAGGGCTATTCATGTATCCTTCAATAGTGTTTCGTGGATTTGTTCAGTTTTTCATTTTTGTAAATATGTTATATAAATCAATTTGATTGATTTAGAGTATTCTGTCAGTGAAAACGTAGCCGAATTTTCTCAACCCGCAGTAACCTCTATGTCGACAAGTTAGCCCTTGCGTAACTTTCTATAATTTTTGGCTAACAAAGAAACAATAAATAAAGAAAGCAAATTCATCCTTTTAAGACTTAATTTTTATCTATTTATTACATTATTTTGATTTTGCTGCTTCTGCTCCGTACCTGTGCGGTCTACGTCGGTTTGTTCTGCGATATTAAGCATATGACCCTCTTAATTCCGTTGAAGTAATATTTATTATTAGACTCGGGGATTATTAGCCGTGTATTTTACTCTCTATTGAATATTTTCGATACTTGTCAAATACTATCGCACAGTCTATCCGAGGAAAATTCATCATAAAATGGTGACGAGGGTTCAGCAGCCGCACGCTGCTCAAATCTCTATAGTGCATTTGCCTCTATATGTTTATGCTCTATTTCGTGGAAGTACTAGCTATGAAAGTATTTATTTTCTGATAAGCGGCAAAGCAAGTGTTCTTGTCGTATGCGCAGTCAGAGGAAACTCATCGATGTTCTTCGAAAAATCTTCCAGAAGCTCTGAGGCTCACGCCCGGCCATTAAAGGAAACTGCCAGTAGCTAAGAAGGATAAGCTCTTCTACCCTGCCGTTGGCAGTACCATTCGGACATGTTGTATATGTTAATCATACACTATATCGTTCGTCCGCTTTACCAGCCTCGAGTTATCCGATAATTCAGCCCAGTTGACGATCCATCCGCTATCACCAAAAACTCCTCCTTGTGTTGTGCTGCCTGCCTGCCTCCTTGCGTGGCTGGCTTTAGGATCTAAACAACTCAGGCCTATGGTTGCACGCAGGTTCTATTTGTTATCCAATATTATAGTGATGAACGCTAGCTGTGCCGACCAGAGTTTTGTGTTTCATTTCAACGTAGAGTTTAAAGTCTTCTCAAATTTACGTTCTCGACTGCTTCTTTTGACAGTGCCACAGAACAAGCTCTATATATTTCTCTATTCGGACTTCTATTTTCACGCGGCTCTTTTGTTTTTACTTTTATATTTTTTCCGTTTTTTACCAACGTTTTTGCTTGTTTTGTTTTCACTTTTTTTATATGAGCTGTCAATTTGATACTTCCCTATTCGGCCCCGAAATAATAGTTGTCGTGTTGTAGGACTCTGACTGTGTTAGGGTTAATCTTACTGCTGCTGTAGTAATGTCTATAGAGACTACTCTAAAATGGTATGGCACTTCAAGCCGAGGGTGGGCCAACACAGAATATTATATCACTCAGCAGTACCGCCTTACCCTTTTTTCGCCATTGCTGGCTCGCTTCAAAACAGCGATATGCAAAACTACGTTAAACCTGCTTAGAACAAATCCTATATAAAATGATACTCTGTACCATAATTTTTATTGTTTTTTTTTTTTTTAAGTTTACTTTTTTTCAAGTTTACTTTTTTTTCTAGCTTTATTCATTTTCATCGTTTCGCTATTATCGTTATTTCCTTACACAACGATAACGAGCATTTAGAGCGATCAGTCGTTTGGTTATTATTGATTTTTTTCTTACGCTTATTCTGCGGTCGTGGCTATTTTTATCAGTTATAATAGTAGTAACGATAGTTTGTTTCCACTTATCACCTTGCTTCTAAATCAGTATAATGATTCCTTTTATTTATTACTCTGATAACTACAATAAAGTGACTCCTATTTGCTCACGCACGAGTAGAGTTTTGACAAATATCATCAAGTTTCTAGAAAAAACACTATCGAAAATGGTACAACTCGCAGGTCAGAAGTAAAAGCGAAACAAGTAACTTTCCAAAATTATCATATATCCAAAATACGAATTCGAGCATCAAATGCTAGTTCCCAAAATTCTGGTGCTACTCTCCCACCGTCTTCAGTATAATTTTAATTATACATAAATGCGTGTATACGGTTGAATATACATGCGTATCAAAGCTGTTTTGTCATGATTTCAGTCATACTAATATGGCTCCGCAGTTTTATGTAAGCCAAAACTTAAAATAACACGGATGCTGTTTCATCCTGAGATTTTGAAAGTTTCCAGCGGCGTCTAACGGCAACGGCGGATTCAAAACTCCCAGGTCCAGCTTCCATAACGTTCGGCGTATTCGATATACAAGCTCAGTGGTATGCACGAATTGTGTTTTCTTTTTTTTTATTTTTATTAGCCTTTGAAAAAAAGTGCGCGAAGCTTCATTATGGCTCGTGCTCTTCAATTTGTCTAGCAAATCGTCTGTGGTTTTCGATGATCCGAACTCGTTTACAGTCAATGCAGTTGAGTTCGACAGGTTCACCCAATCTTCTAACCTCAGATCAAAAATCAAACGAATCTGTAACACGCTTTTAAGATAAACCGCTTGCTTTGTTTAGGGTCAGTCTCAGAAATCTTACTATTTAACTATGTTATTGACTACGGAACATCTTCACGATAACTCGGCCATCGTTGTATTTTACGTCACTTCAACTTGTTTTTATTTGGTGGCCCCACATGACTCATTTGTCGTAGGTATTGAACTACATCATTTTCTGTTTACCTAACATTCATATATTAGTTATACTACGGCATTGCGATCGTAATGATGGTCGCATTACTGTTATGAACTAATTCGTATAATAGTTTGCCCTTTATGAAGTGTCGGGGGGGGGGGGGGCAGGGAATTTCGTGTTCCTAGATCATAGTAATCATCACACACGTCCCTTCTAAAATTATTGATCGTAAATTTAGTTTAGCCGCTATGACGTACTACTCTGACGAACAGGCGATTTGGTATACAAGTGCGTAGAGCACTTGTACGTTACAGCGTTCAATTATGGCCAGTTCAGATTAACGTCTGGATCGACATTGCGGTTAAGGTGACGTCTGATTCCAGTGCGGCTTATTAAGATGTATCATACAATGAGAAGATTACGAAGCCTTTGACAATTGGGAAATCTATCACTGATCGCTAGCATTGTGCCTCTTGCGTCAGACAAGAGTCTTCGCTTTATTTAGATTGATTACGCCTAAAAAAAAATGTATGTAAGTGTTACGTCAAAACACTGCCATCGTAAATGCTATGTTTTTCGCCGCAAGAAACAACGAAGCAGTCTGCGTGTATTCTAGCACGAATATCGGTGCGAAATTTAAACACAATACACTAAGGTGCGTTACCCCCATCGCCGGCCGCATTTCGAACTGTATTGTTGTCTAATAGATAATTAAAGCGGAAACATAATAACAATATTCACCTATTGTCCTTGTAGGTAAAAGTAGCATTTAAGGTGTTGATTGGACAAATTTTTCACAAATCGGCAGCGGTTTCTAGCTGACGAAACCGACTCAGAGCGCGGAGCACGTCTTGCCGCCAGCCTAGAACAAGCAAACCCGCTTGTATTTTATAAACAACACGTTATATGTCATAACAAACTTTGCTATATATATATATATATGGGTTCTAGGTCGTCTACTGGGGTCAATCTAGAAATAGCGGGTCACGACCCCTTGTATAAAAGCAAGGCCCCCGCCAGACCAAACGCACAATAAGCATGTTGTCTCAAATCGTTGTGTTTCCGTATCACTATATAGGCTTTTTATGATCGCATTGTGGCACTGCAAATCTTTTTTAGTGCATGCGCGTGCTTTCGATAATGTGCGAATAGGAGCTAACAATGGGTCTAACGTATCGAGATGAACGATATACAGATTGAATTTATGTCAAACGATGGTGATGGCATGCAGTTGTCAAAAATAATAAATTATCTAATAGTAATAATTAGCAGAAGGGTATTTTTTTCTTCACATGCTCAAGAATAGCATAGATAAAAATATTAATATTTTTTAGATAGATGTATTTGATAATAATCAACAGGGAACATTGCGGTTGTTGATTGGCCTATGATTACGGTTGATAATGGTTTATCAACACGGTAAAGAAACTTGACGGTCGTAATGTTACTAAAATTACAATAAATTCTACTACGGATGTGTATACCGGCTATTTGTTTTTAACTTGTATATACAACCGCACGTCATCGTAAACGTGAAAGCAAACAAATGGTTATTATTCGGTGGATAATGAAATTGGGTGATTTTCTATTCGGGAGCAATGAACAACAGCAATCAACAGCAGCAAAAACAAAATTAATTTAAAAAAAAAAATAACCAAATTTAGAAGCGCACTCCAAATTTCGGGTAAACTAGAGGCTGTGAGATAGCCTCACAATATGGAAGCATAGACACAAAGGGTTTTTAGGTCGGCGTCCATTTTACGATCGCCGAAGAGCCATTGCATATCTCTGGGTGCCAGTCCACATAAAACAAGATCTCTGACACCTTCTCATAGACGAGAAAGCTCGAAACTTATCCCAAAAAGTTTCTATAGCCATAGAACGAAAAAAGCTAGATTTTAATCTAGAAAATTTGTGCAGCCAAAGACTGTACCATATATCATCTATTTAGAGGTGCTCGATCACGCTGGAGATAACTTCACTACGTTGTGCAAGCCGTACGATATGAAGATCGCTCAATAAAATTTAATTTAATGTCCATAGTGACGACGACAACGAGAATGTGTCCGTTAACTGCAATACAACAGTTAGGTATCCACAAGATAGCCACTAACTATCGGAAGCTGCTCGATCGATGTTCTCGTTTGTCTAGGCTATTTGAAGTGACGAGCTCTCGCCTTCCCCCTGTCTTCGCCACTCTATTTAATGCATTGTCTAAATGAAAAAAACCTCCAGCGGAAGCAATATTTACACTTGACTTGTCTTCTCGCACGCGATTCATTTTCTTTTCCTCTTCCTGGAAAAATGGCTACAAAGGCGTTAGTTAAGACCTTCGCATTTTGTGTACGACTATCGAATGTCTGCCGGCACTAAATAACGTGCGATGAGTTTACGGATATGGGCCCGCGTTAAAATGGAGAAAGGTCACAGTTAGACGTGAGCGGCAATCGAATCCAGTTGTTCCCTGCAGCTCTGAAAAACCCGAATCGTTAGCCTCCTAATTCAGCCGAAGCCCTCAGTATACACCGAGCGTGCACTACGCTCACTCATAGATAGCGCTTAACGTACCGATACAATCCTAAGAACGCAAACAGCAAATCTGTACGAAGCTTCCAGTCAGTTTAAAAAAAAAACTAACTCCCTTAGCAACTATAACTTTGGGCGTTTCACGAGCAATTTTCACCAAGTTCTTTTGACAGGAGCAGCGTTCTTCAATTAAGAAGCGGTCTTCTAGGACCCAAGCAGACCTGCATTTGGCCGACGTTTGCTCGTTGTGATTGCTGCATTGTACTTCACCGTTGTATGGATCCTTCACGTTACGCAGTGCTCAAAAAACAAGGCTGCCACCACATGTCAGAATATCACCTGGAAAGCTGAAATCTTACTAGGGCCCAAGTTTACCGGGGCGGGGGGGGGGGGGGGGAATCTATCCAAAAATGTGAAACTTGCCGACAGCTACTTACATATTGCATTGTCGGGCCGTGTCTTTCTTTTACATGCTTTCGAACATCAATGAAAATATGCGCTTTAATCGTTGACTTCGTGGGGTAATTACCCCGTTCTCGTAGCATATTACATACCGTATTTTTTGAAAAAAATCGCCTGTATCCTTTCAATAGGCTGTCTATTCGTGCACTCAACATGAGTTGGAAGACCGGGGTCCGTTGTATGCAATTTTAGTGCGTGCTAATGAGCTCTATTATCTATAAACTGCATGATATATATAGATGCGGCCAAGTGTTGCCATTGATTATTGTTGCCGAGTATGTCCTATACTGTACTACAACGCCAAGCAGAGTACCGGAAAAGATTTTTTACAGCTAATCTGCTGTGCAAAACTGGTGCACGTAATCGAAAGAACCTAGCATGCGTGTCGGTTGAAAACCACTTACTATACAATTAGTTCATTTTCGTACCTGATGAGAAATCATCGAAAATTGGAATGCTGCAAAAATTTTCGATATCTCATTTCTACTACCACTACCGTGTCTAGTATTTTCACAATTGCATCAGCACCAATGAACAGGCCAAAATCGTACTGAAAAGCGTTTGGTTTCGGCCTGGACCACGAAGTTTCTAGGTAGTATCTGTCGGTGTATGAGGTTGCATTTTTGCTATGTTGGTCCTGGATTAAATGGGTGACATGGTTGCATTGCAAATGCTCATCATGTTTCCGGTGAGGCGCAAGCAATGGACAAATAACACACACTCACACACACCCACAGACACACACCCACAGGCAGACACACACACACACAAACGCTTACACACGTTCTTGTCGTTGCTGGGTGCGATAGGAGATCGATATGGGGTATGGTGGAGATGTCTGAGGTGGTGATTTGGTGCTGTTCAGGCAGAGTAGTTGACTTAAGTAGGCTTGGCATGCAACTCGAGGGTTCCACCCGTAAATCTTATATGGACTAGGCTACGGGCGAATCGCCATCCTATAACAGGCAGAGAAAAAGAACGCACAACAAGAAAAAAAAAAGAAGACATCAAATCATTACATGAAGTATTTGCAATACATAAAGCTTCCAAAGAGTACAATGTAAAATGTAATGAAAAAAACGTGTTGACTAGATACATTCAGCACATGTGTTGCAAGGGCTTCCGTTCGACAATCAGTAAGTGCGTTGCCTAATTTTACTAATGCATCAGTAAATCAATTTAGATCGGAAAGAAGATCTATCCTTCGAACTTGAACACTTTCTCTTTTCTCCTACCAGGCGTACAAATTATCGGAACAAGTGAGGCAATGAAGCAGTTGAAAAACTCCCAGTGGGCGACAAGTTGAGATTTTTTCGCACAGTGCCGAATGTCTTGGACGGAAAGCAGCCATCATAGATTAATCTTGAACGGCGCCATTAAAACCAGCTAACCGAGTCATTCGAGTTGAACGATTTTACCATTTTCTAACGAACGGCAATTTCCTACGATAACATTTAGCAAACGGTTAATAGGGAAATATAAATACGTATTGACCGAGGTTTCTGGTTTGGTTTATTCTTGTTTTGCGACCGCAAAGCGAAGGCCTTCAAATCAGGCTGCACAACTTATTTGTAGTATGCCGAGCACACGAAAAGGTATTGCCAACAACGTTTCAGTGTCTAGGAGACCTCAAAGGAACAGCAAAGCAGGATCAGTGATCATTACTTATCTATATATATACATATATTATATAAAGGTTATATGCTAAAAATGCGGGCAACGGGGAAAGGTGGGTTGAAATTGTGAATGGAAAAAGATCAATATTACTTTCGTACGGTTCGTAAAGAATATTTACCCGAAATCAATGATTGCCGATAAGGAATATTGATTGAGAGAAAAAAAGCTTTGTTAGAGTGCAAAAGCGCACCCAGACCTATTTACGCCTATACGATATATAAGTATAGTAATATTATTGTATATATATAACTCCGCATAGGTTGATTTTACGTGTTTGGCTTTTGCTAACTGTTGCTCATATTTATTTCTCTTTCCTCTCGCTAGTTAATAATAATAATATAATTATTTCTCTTATAATAATCATTATTATTATCATTAACAAAATGCAATGCGATTCAACGACGATGGATTCAATGATTGGCTATTTCTATTTCGTTATTATATTGTATGTATGCCTCCGTATGCCCATATACGTAGACGTTATAGTAAATAAACAAATATATCAGGGCATATGACCACCACTCAAAGATGAATCGTTCATATACCATAACTGTAAATTTTCATTACACATTCAAATGATTATCGGCTAAATTATTTTCTCGTCGTGTCGTGGCCCATTTATCCGGTCTATTTCGTTTTTCGTTTAATTTCGTGTGCTCATTACCAGCCGACTCGGCAAGACGATACGATATCACTGTCGCATTCAGTCGTTGTCTCCTATTTCGTATACATACATACATACATACATACATACATACATACATACATACATACGTGCGGTACTAGTAATCATAATAGGAATAATGGTAATACTAAATGTGTATGTTTTCACTTAATGAAACTGGTTTTGCCAGCTTTCCTGCCGTCTTGGTTAGCCGTTTTGTTATCTACTTCTAGATTGTCGGTACGGAAGATAGCAGCTTTTTTTTTCAACAATTAATCGGTTTTTTGCTTTGCCAAACGTATGATCATCGTATTTTAAACAGCACTTCCTTTGTTTGTCCCGGCCAGAAGGAACACGAGGCATGCGTTGTCGTATACTTTCGTTCCTCGTCTTCTTTCTATTGTTATGCTAATTAACAAACTCTCGACGCGGACGTTCTAACTAGTTTATACGTTTTCCGCTAACTGCTTCTGGTAATTAGCGTTTGCCAGGACTCTGCTAGCTGGCTAATGGTAATAGCTTATATGCAAATCTGAGATAACCTTTGTTTTCATCGCCACAATCTATCTATGCTTAAAACTCACGCGTGTATTAGGTTATACTTAGATCCTGTCGGCCTCAATGGTAATAATTTTGGGGTTAATTAATACGAACAACTACAATATTACCCAGGGTTGCGACATCTGGGCTTGGATGTTGTTTATATATATATATATATAGATTTTAATGAATCTGTGTAGCTTTCATATCGGTCTATATTGATGGCTACTGGTGTTATCAATGATATATACGATATAATCATTACTTTAATTATATTCATTTTTTATCGCCATTAATAGTATGTATTGTTTCCACTATAACTACTGCTATAAAAAACGGCATCTTGAGTTGATCAGAAAAGGTCGCCATCTTGCAAAGGCACTATTATTCAAGCAGGGCCTGACTCGAGCGAAAATTAAATTGTCTTGTCCCGATTTGATCAGTCCAGTGCCTCCGTTGGCTTTTACCTTGTTTAATCTTGACGGTTTCGTTTTTATTTTTGTTTCGCCTAAATAGCTACGGCTGTTAAATCTCAATAGCGAACCCGTGTTTGAATATCGGAGACAAATGCCGGCCGCGCCTTAAGCTACCGAGACCTAATTGTGACTGCCTTGGCTTGATTCAGCTTTCACTAATGCTATCAATAATAATGATAGTGATGAGCACGGCGGTTCCACATCTACCTTCGAAAGAATACTCCTGATATTAGTAGGTTCGAGTAATTTCCACCTTGATAACTATAGACGTTCATTTAGAGCGCGTGCTATCAAAGCCTTTTTTTCTAGCTGTCCTTGACCGTTGCTGCCGATACACAAACAATGGCGAATTGTATTATAAACTCCTGTGCGTATATATAAGCGTTCGATAGCAGTAACTACTGATCAGTTTCGATTAAATAAATGTCATTCTTGCAACGTGTTGGTCTTTGGTAGCATGGAGTGATGCAGGACCATGTCACCTGGTCGAGTCTTGGCCTGCCAAGTTCTTCAGTTTTTTTCTGTCTTTGAGTGGCAACCTACTAGTACATACATAAAAACTAGTTAAGTTATCATTGTTACTCCCATTATCGTAATCGCCTTCGCGTCCAATAACGCTATTGCTAACAATACAATACTTTAGGGCTTCTTCATAACTAACCGTTTATGATGTCATTAATATCAATGTTGTTTACTTTTTGAATTGAAGGTATCATCATCGTTCGTGCTTTGCCTCGTATGTAAGTTTTGTTATCCTTGACCTGTTACCTTGTTGTCCTTATGTTAACAACAGGTCACTTATTTGTACGAGGAAGACAACGGCGCGTGCCGAACTAAATTTTTTTCAAGTAAAACGACTATTCCATTGGATTTTAATTTCACACCGCAGTTAAAAGCAATCTACAGCAACATGTTTGACTCGCACGCTGAAGGTTGAGACGACGCACAGATTGATCAATAATTAATATTAAAAAAGATGATGGTCTCGGTGAGATTGAAGCAAAACATGGTGTTGTCATGGCTTACCATCGATACGGGGTCCTGCGAATGTCCCTGCACATCTACTTGACATAGGTCTGAGTTGCTCCAAACTCTGCGTTTTTTTGCGCCTAGTATTTATGTCGTTTACAATGGTTTATGTTACGTGCCGTTTTTGCTGATCCTTAGAATATCCTCAAAGTTTTGCTATCTGATCGTTGAGGACAGGCGGCATCCAGCGCCACAGGCCCGGATCTCAGGGGGTGCTTGGGTCTTGCTGTCGTCTCTGATGAGGATAAGCAAGTGTTACCCAAGTAATGTTTTGACTATGTAATCGCGGATGGATAATCTATACCACCATTATAGTCATAGTGGTAATTCATATTATTCTTGATGCTTTTTTTTTCTCTAAATATAACAGTAACTACACGTACATGCTACTACGACGCATGTCTGCACTGCGCCACAGGGTCAAACTAACGTTTCCATTGTTATCCAATGTCAGCCTTTTATCTTTGCCGTTTCATAGTACGAGTTTTTTGATCTATCGGGTTCTCGTCATTGTCATGTTATGCTTTTTGCTATCGTTGTTGTAAGAAGAGAGTATCGTATATATAGTCCTTGCCGTTGTAATGATTTTATATGTATATATATATATATATATATATGAATACGTTTTTGTATAATTAGTACATATATTGTCATTACTAAGATTAGCATTATAGACATGTCTCCTTATACTGAGAAGAATATGGATGAATAAGACATACAGTTAGTTTCTTGTTGTATGCCATATTCTACGTGTTTGTTTTGTCTTCGTCGTGCAATTTCAGACCCCCTCTTCTCTTTGGGCTTCCTTCATTTGTTTTTAGAGTAGGCAATCGTATGCATACGAATATAGCCGTTTATCATCTACCTTTCTCTATTGAACTTTTTTTTTTGTTTGACATCTCTATCGTTTTCGAATATTCCAGTTTCACGCTTTTTATAGAAAATACAAGTCACGTATTGTTTCCGGGTTTCTTTGGCCCACAGCAATTACGACCCAAATACGATTTTTGAAAGAGTTTGGGCAAAAACCTTTCGCCTGTCTGACCCGCAGATCTATTATACCCATCTCAGTGATCATTGTGATACGACAAATAAATGGGGTGTGGAAATATATCAACTTAAACTGTGGATGCACTATTAGACAATAATATCGAAACGACTTACGGCATTAAAATTAGAGAAGAAGGTGTGTGAGCTTACAATATAGCAACAGCTTGCGGTAACACTATTGGCAAGGTGATGTATAAATTGTGTGACTATATATATATA